TATAAGTAAGTATACTTTCGGTTCGGCCGGGAATAAATTGTATGAGCATAGCCGGTTGACATAGCTTAAACACGTTTACTGTGGTTTTGTGTAAAACTATGTTTCTTCTTTATTTATATAGGTTACTAAAAGGGATATTTAAATATAATCTAATTTGTTAATGTGAAAATTATTTACAGTATAAGACAATATGTTCTTTAAATTTAATCCAATAACTTATGTACATGATAAACTGCTTAAACACCATTGCAATAAATTTAATTTAGAAAGAAAGAAAGAAGGATAGAAGAAAGAAAGACATTTATTCACTGAAACTATACACATCACATAAATAAAAAAAGACAGTTAAATATGTATGGTAGATTAAAATTACAAGAGATGGGGTGTGTATGCAGCCAGTGAAAAGTTATGACTCAGCGTAACGCTGCAGGGTAACCAACAGCGCTGATGATTTATTTATTTTTTATAGGATCGGGTGACAAACGAGCACACAGTCCACCTGATGGTAAGTGGTTACTGTGACCCATAGACATCTACATCTATCCTCAATAAAGACTCAAGATACAGATGCGTTGTCACCCGTGAGGACTAAGATGGAATGCCTCTTTGCCTGTAAAAAGGGTCTCCTGTTCTCTACACTCACCATACGAAACACAGCAGCGTTAAACTGCTATTTTACACACCATTTTAATGATTTACATTTCTACCTCTACCACCTAACGTTACAAATGTGAAATGATTAGAATTATAAGAACCCATCTATTTATTGTGCAAATATCAACAACTATATAAACAGAAAAAAATCCGTCACAGTTAGTGGTCTCGTGATGTCAGTCATTCGATGTAGCCTTGTACGCGTTGATACCAAGGTTTTTTATGTCGTTGTTACTATTGTTTGTTGTGTGGACAGCGTTAATTTCATTTCACAGTGTTCATGAATCATAAAGCCTTTGAACACGTTCCGTCAGTTTGTTTTCCTTACTACCTACCATTGTTTCTCCTTGTTAGTTGTCAAATTGATGTTGGTGATCAAAATATTAAGTGGATTCTGATGATATAAGATTAGTGTGGAGTTTTTATGTTATATAGGTACTTATGCAGTAAACTAATGCTTACATATTTCATAGTGTTCGATGGTATTAAATCAATTTGGGAAATTTTATCTAATCTGGAGGTATAATTAAGTTGAGTTTTCTTTGTAATTTTAATGTTTTGTTTTTCAAACGTGTTTTAGAAGTACCTTCCGTTTTCACATCATTAAAAGCTTATGATATTTTTATTCATTTAAAGTCTCGTGTTTATTTTAAATGGTCGATCGAACGTTAAAAACACGCGAAGCTTATCAAAGCCCTTGATTGGAAACCGCAATGGAATTGTTTTTTCATATTGCATTTTATAATCTCACAGTTAAACTTCATGACCACAACATGGCGGCAATTCAGCAAAGCACACACGCACACATCCGCACACATCTACATATATATACGGTAAAGCGATTTAAAATGATACGGTGTTTTGAGTTGTTGGAAATTTACACAGCCTTGACAGTTGTACAAATAGAGCAGCTGTTTATTTTGCTATAGATCTATATCTATACATAAAAATACAATTGAAGTGTCCATCTGTAATATTGATATAACTATGTAGCTCCTATTATACACAGATGGTTATTTGCATGCAAAGACATAAATCATTTAAAAAAATTTTAGTCTGTCTGTCTTTGGAATGGCTGAAGTGATTACGATAAAACTTTTCCAACAGATAGAGAGCAATATACCAGCTGCGATTTTGGCTATATTATCCCAAAATCTAGGAATATTTTTTTTTGGAAAATTGAAAAATTAATGAAATATTTCATTAATTATCTTAAATTTAAATAACGTAAGTAGTTGTTGTGGCCCATATAGATCTACATCTATCCTCGTTAGCGAATCCAAATGCAGATGTGTTAGGTTTAGCCGTGAGGACTAAAATGGAATACCTCTTTTCTAGTAAAAAGGGTCTCCGGTTCTCTACATTCACCCATACGAAACACAGTATTAAGCTGTTATTTTACGCTGGTATTCTGTAAGAGCGTGGTCCTACTCCGGTCGAGCCGAACCATTCGTGCTAAAACTATACTATTAATATAGCTGCAGCATGGCTCTATCACGTATAAGGATCTATTATACGTGGTAGAGCCATGCTGCACCCAGGCGAAGGGCTGCACCAGGGTGGGTATCTAGTAGTTAATATTAAAGTTTTATGTAGTTCAAAGGCAACATGCTTAGTTTTATAACTGTTGTTGAATTGTATTGCTACATCAGATCACATTAAACTTCTTTTAATTATTTCTAGCAGTTTATATGAAAATGAAGAAGAAAAAAATGAGATGTAAGTAATTTTCGACATTTTAATGCTCAGAATACATAACTTTCTGTATTCTGAGGTTACATGATGTCAGAGTGTTGTCATCGATACGAACTGCGTAGTAAACAATATGACCTTCACATTTTACAATAAATTAAAAATATGATTGTGGCTTGATCAATGTAAATTGTTTTTATTTTCATTAAATGTTAAGACAATTCGTGATAGGTACAATGTTGCTGCTAAAGTAATATTTGAATGTAGCGCAATTTAATAAATATAAGGTCGATGTTCATTCATACAAATGGATATCATATTATGAACGGATTAGGTAAGGTACGACTTTGCCATTCTCAAGGCATGACACAATTCATGACGTGTTATTTATACCAGGGTTATATTAATAATTTACTTATTATTATAACTGCTGATGTGTCTGAATATATTTCTAACTTATTCAACAAAAAGAAAGTAGTTAGCCTCGTTTTTGGAGAGCGTTAACTAAGCTTATAAAATTATATGAATAGAAAGCAGATGCCTCTTCTCTCGTACAATAAAAAGAAAAAAAATCAAATAAATTTACGTAACAATATAAGAGTAAGTATTGGCGAATATCAAGCATCTTTCATACTTAAATAGATAACTTTTAAATTATTTCTAGGCCTATTAACAATAATTTATTGCTTTTATAACTCAACCCACTGCGTTACTAAGCTATCATTATTTATCCTTAGTCATTAGATATAAAATAAATAACAAAGATCTAGATACTTAGCTTAATGAAACAAAATATATTAATTGAAATATTAAATATTCGGTCACAGATCAGCGACGTTTTCAAATGGAAACGGGAAAAGTTATGAACATTTAGTAGTTCGGAGACTGTATTGGTCGATGTCCACAGAATATTCTTACGCACTTTGCTTGCGAGACGCGCAGTCGTAAAAATCTGGATTCTTTCCAGCACACGACTAGTTCAAATAAAATATTAAACATTTTTGTAGGGCAACAATAATCTAATGGACGACTATTTGGTCTTATTCCCGAAATTGCAATTAAGAAGCTTGTATTTGGATACGTATTAAATGAAGGATTACATCCGCTTAATAGAGTTCGTACATTCAATATCGACGACTCATATAATTAAGAATTTCTATAATTAGTTTGTTATAAAAAATATTAACAAACTTTTTAAATACTTGAATCCAAATAAATTCGTCAAATAAACTCTTAAAGATGTTATTTCTCTGTTTGTAATGTCATATAAGCTTAAAAATAAGTAGAATTGGCGTAATAAACAAAGATTGTAATTAAAACAATGCTCTTAAAATAAGAAATAAAACTACAATACGCAGTGAAGTCACTTTTTGAATTTAAATTAACGATGGTTTATTCATAAGCTTGTTCTTCAAACCCAAGTATCTAACACTTCTGATCAACTAAAACGAATACTGAAAATGTAAGTAAAACTGCTATTAGAAATGTAATTTTTACTTCAAAATTTTAGTTTAATATATTAAAATTAAATTTTGGATTATTTGCATATTTTAGTAAATAATGATTCCAAACGGACTGTTACAGATAAAACCTATAATTTAACAGATTATAAACATATGGTGGACTTAATACCTTAACCTTAAGTATGTGTACGATTTTATTTTTGTGCATAAAAGTTTAAATAAATAAATAAATGTCTACTTTAGTAATAATTTAAATCCTAAGAGATTAAGAATACTATTTATTATTGTCTTTTCTTTAAATTTGGCCTTTCAGCATCTCACATGCTAGTTCTATATCACAGGGTTGCCCACATTCAAACCCTAATTTGGCATAGTCACTTGCTGTAATTTGCCAACCTAGTTTAAGGCAAATATTTTAGTGTCAGTGATAATTGTTTTTCAACTGTGTAAATCATGTTTTGAACTAATAAGGAAAATACTTATTATTTTATATAAGTTATCGCATCTTTTGGTTTTATTTAGATAAAATGACCAAATAAAACATGTGTGCGAAATTCCTTTACTATTTTATGTTTAGCGAAGAAAATTTTACGAATTTACATATCTACACTCTTTTCACTACATCACTGCACTCGTTCGTTGTGAAATATAATATTTGTAAAAGTACTAGATACTATGACATCATTATAAAAATATCTATTGATTTAAAACATGTTAGAAACAATGAATCACGTATAAAACACAAGTAATTTGCAAAAAAAAAAACTAGCTTTGGATATTCAAGTAATCTGAAACTGAACTAGAATTTGTTAGCAGAATAAACAAACTGAACACAGAACGCATTTACGTACATTTATAAAGGCCAGTCTGGATTTAAATAAAATTTGTATAAATAATATCTTATTTATATTATTTTTTATACTTAAAATAAAAGAATCAAAGATCTTTTTATGAGAACATGCTTTCTGCAACTGAAAGTAACTTTTTATTTGAACATCGTTGTTCAAATTTACGCCGTCGTCGCCGTTGTTGCAAAACGCAAAGCTATTTCACATTATAATGGAATCCTGTATTTTCACATTATAATGGAAAATTATTAATTATTACATTTCATAATCAAGAAAATACAGGATATAAATGAGAATTATGTTATAGTAAAATTATTAAAAAAAAATAGAAAATGAAACATACCGAATTCGAATGCCGTTAATAAAATGGCAATACTCAAGGCAGCAACTCCACTACGGGCCATGTTAATGATTCTAAGGGATTGTTGTGAACGGGCGAACTCTTGCAATGGGAGAGCTAGACTGAGAAAAACGCCTCACCCGCCGCCACAGTGACGCCGGCCAACGCATTTACACGCCGAATAGGATGTCATATTCTTAAATAATTCGTGGACATTTCGTTCAACTATTAACTTACTACGAAAAAATGCTGATTTATTTTTTGGTTAAACTAGATGTAAAATTATACCTTTGAGGTATTTATTGGGAAAGTTTGTTCTTAGACAATATAATAAGTCTCGATCAAGTTATTCTGCTTCAAATTCGATGAAGATTCGATGCTGTTCTGATAAGCTGTGTAGTTTTTAAAACATTACAAGTTTTTCGAAATTGTAAGAAGATATTACATCACATCGCCAGCCTATTTAAGTCGCCAGCTGGGCATGTAAGCATTTTTAAGAATGTGCCAACCGCCACACAATTTTTGGGAAATTGCTTGTATTCATTATACTGGGCGGCTAAGTGAGCGCAGTGCCCATGTCAGTTTTGATTCCCCTCATCATCAGTCTGTCAAAATTAGATTCAGTGTGCTTTGATGGATTGTCCGCCATCATTCGGTCACCAAAGCCCCGTCCATTCCGAACATCATTTAGGAAGTTGCGTGCACTGCATGCAGGTGGGGCCTTGATATATATCCCCTTAGACTTCATTCAATCGTATACCGCACTTACTTGTTTCCTAATAATGTTATCGTCTTTTGTTCTCTTCGAATTAAATAAAAAAGGTAAATGAAATAAAATTTAATGATAGATGTAACGCTGCTTTCATTTATTTTAAATATGCTAAATACAGACATTATATATTCTTGATCTAACAAAGGACATAATATAATGCCTGTCTATGTTCAAGCAATAAAAATAGATAGAATTTTAGACAGTAGTAAGTTTTAGTTTGGTCTATTTGTATATCAGTAACCCCTACTCAATTATTAATCCTTCTCGTTATTGCTTTTTTTTTATAGCATTGGATGACAAACGAGCACACAGTCCACCTGATGGTAAGTGGTTGCTGTGGCCCATAGACATCTACATTTATCCTCGTTTGCGATTCAAAATGCAGATGCGTGGTCACCCATGAGGAATAAGATGGAATGCCTCTTTTTCAGTAAAAAGGGTCTCCAATTAATTGTCTTCCTTGATAGCCCGTAAGGAGTCCACTGGTGGAGATGGGCCTTCCTCAGATTAAATAGGTTTAACCGTAGTCATCACGACTGGCCGGGAAATGGCTGTTGCAGTCTCAGTACCTATCAGTCCCTGCTTCTAGTCGCCGGAAATTTACATCTATCGTAAATACGAAATGTTATTATATTAGGTTATAAACGCCACCTATTGAACCCTACAAAACCTACGGAATATCATTATATCACTTCATTAAGTGATGTCCTACGCTACCATACGGCTATTAAAACTATTCAGTTTTAAATGTTGTAATAGATTCCTTTTAAGTACTTTTATAGTTTCTATATTTGATAACCCTCCTTTGTTGCGTTTCTAAATTATTATTGCGATCAGTATTATAGTCTAAAGTTGAAATATATTGCGATCATAAAAACCGTTAACAGTTTCCTATTTGGTTTCATGGCAGTGTCCTTGTTAAATCAAGAAAAACATGCGCATAAACTATCCTACGTAATCGAGCACACAATAGTAGAACATTAGGACCAACATTTTTTTATTTTAAAAGTTATGTGCTGAGAAATGTTTCTTTTAATTTGAAATGTTTTTCGCCTCGTTTGAAGACAAAGTATGGAAATTCGAAAGATTTAATAAGACGATCTTGCTGTATTCTCACCTCATTATGAGAGCATTTCACTTTCACATTGAATAAGTACCCTATATTATTTTTTCTAAGTTTTAAAATACATTTTAAAGCATAATAAATTAACGAAATAATGTTATTTGATACAAAGACCATATAGTTTTAAATTAATTGTTCTTTATTGCAGAATGAAAATGATAAGCTTGGCGAGTTACATTTTGCCAATATCAAAGATATTGCTTGAATAAGTTATTGGTTTTATGTGGTAGATCCATACCACACTTGTGGTATTTTGGCTTCAGTATGAATGAATCGGCTCGTACAGCAAAGAAAAATGCTCTCACGGAATACTAACGTAAAATAGCAGCATAATGTTACCGTGTTTCGTATGTTAATTTTGGGAAACCGGAGATTTTTGCAGGCTGCGAAATATTACCTTTGTCTTGGCCCTCAGAAATGACAACGCAATCTGTATTTTGACTGTATAAAATATTGAAGACAACTAAGTACATTCATTTTTCAAGATGTTTGATGTAATTTAGTAAGTTATATTTAATTATTTATTGTAACTTTAAAGTTTTTAATTTTTGTATTGAAACAAGACCAACTAATATATTTACTTATTATTAATAGTATATACCATTACAGATTATCACAAGTTCACTGCTGAATTTACACCTTTATGGTTTATTCATAGATAAATAGCTCGTATTATCTTTGAAAATACAACCAGGTTGGCCATACTACGAAAAGAGCTGTTCACTTCAATTTTCAATTCACTTAAAGACAATAAAACCAACAAAGTTTTTTAAAGATCTCCTGAAATTGCACCTGGTATTTTGGCTATAAAATTTCATCAATACTGGTAAGAATGTTTACAGAAATTCTTAAAAACAAAAGATTAGAGAAATTAATAAAACAAGTGACGATTTCTTTAATAAACTTATAACAAAATTACTTGAGTATATTCTTTTTCTTTTTATCAGTGTTCTTCTCTTTACAAACACAATTTATATAATGCCGATGTCCTCAAGTCAATCATTATTTTCGACCATTATAGCATCATCTTGTTACACAACCAATAAAAGTATTGTCATTGAGCAGAATTTAGCGTCGCAAGAGCGCAAATATTCGTTCCTGTCTTCGTTTATACGACGAATCCCTTTGAAAATGCCACTTACTATACACATTATATAACTATTTTATATAGTTACATTACAATTAGAACAATTTAGTACCTCTTTAGATCTAAATGGTCCTAATTCTATCTAGGTCCGCGGCTTGAAAGCTGGATCGCTTTATTTTGGTTTTGTTCTATTTTTATCTACGTTAGTACTAATATTTTTTCTGTGCTTTAACTATTAATGCAGCTAGATGCAAAAATGGCATGTAATGGGTTTCGTCGAATAAACCTGTTTTTAAAGGTTTATGTAGTTTACAATGCATAGTGCGCCAAACGGTAAACTATTCAAACAACAGTTGTAATACGTAGTACTATCATTTATTCTGTAGTTGTATGCACACACATATACAATAATTACAAATAGTCGTATACATAACATTATTTTTGTGCATTGAATACTTTTCGGTGCGTTTTTTTGTGTCCGGCAATGCCAAAACACGCAATGTCTCCCCCGTACCGCTCGTTGCATCATCGTGGAATAAACCGGTCTTCAATAACACTCTATAAGCACTCGCAGTTCGATCGAAATAATCAACAAAACCAAGATACAATGTTTAATAACCGGTTATTTGGAAACCGGTTTCAAACTCTGACTCTGTCTTTATTATTTACTGCGCATGACGTGATAAAATATCATGTTCTATGTGGTTTCCGATGATTCTCGTAAGTTAGTGATGAAAGCAAAATTGTACTTTAAGACAACATTATCATATTCATTTATCCAAGACCAACGATATGACCGACGATCTACGTGGACGTTAAATCGTAGTTATTTTTAGCTGTGTCTCCAATTTGATATATTTTTACCGTTACTTTTTAAGTCTACTAAGTACCATTATAACTGGCGTGTAGCTGGAACTCTGTCTCAACTACGCAACTTACCGTTTCCTCTTCTGTTTCTCATGCTATGCGTATAATAACACCCTATACATTTTCTCAATATTTTCCTTCTATTTCTTTATTTTCCTATAATTTATGGTTGTATAGCCATTCGATAAATTGAGTCTAAGAATCAAAACCACGCCATGAGAAGTGTTGAAAAAAAACTCGGAACTGCGAGTACCAATTCGCCTCCTAAATATGGTGAATGGACTTTTGTAGGCTGATGGATGACAAGGGTATCAGGACTACGGGACGAAATGGCGTGATAGATTTTCTTACGTCGCTAACACACGGCGAACTTTTTCATTACATTAAAGCAATGTCTAAGTGCGGTGCCAAGCCAAATTGTTAATAGCATTTAGATTTTATCAACACTTCTAATGGGACTTCACTTGATTTACATTTTACAGTTGTTGCCATTTCTATCAAACAGTTTTTGTTTCTCTAGCGTTAATTTATTTTTAAAGCATGTGCATAGATTGTAGAATAGTAATAGAATTATAATAAGTAATAACCTATAATATATATATATATATATATATATATATATATACATATATATATATGTATGTAATGTCAGTTTAAAGTGAACTTAGACTATATCCGTCAATTACTAAAGAATTAAGTCAACCAAACTACTAAGACTGTGTTTAGTTATTTGAATCGTACAACATTTGTTTGATGTTATTTTAGCACAAAATCAAAAATAAGATAATTTGATTGTTGAGGGAGCCGTGATTGCTTGGGGGATAAGCACTCGCTGTAAATTTTATTTAAAAATTTCTATTTGGTTGCAGGTGTCCATGGACTGCAGTTACCATCAAGTGGACTGTATGTTTGCTTGTCACGTTAGTTTTATAAAAACAAAAGATTCTCTTAGTTTTGTGAGTGCCGTAGAGTAGATATATTTAAATATGGCGCCTGTCAAAGAGATGGGTACTCATATTGTTAAAATATATTGATAGTAAAATAATATGAGTATCAAATGAACTTTAGTAAATAACCAATTCCTAATATAATATATTTTATTATATGTTATGAATTGGCAGAAGTGTTTGTACAGAAAGGCTACAATGATTATCCGAGTAAAGGACCATAGTAAGAAACATATCCAACCGCAGAGAGGTGTGAAACGGGTGACGT